TTGAATTTTTATTATTTTATAATGAAATAGTAGTAATTTTGAGTCATGTATTTAGTAGTTTAATCATGAACATAATATAAAAAATAATTTATGTGTGGTGTGAATTGTTTTTAATAAGGAATTGATGGAATGATTTTATTGATATAAAAACCTAAGTTGAATGATTTTATCGATACAAAATAAAGTTTAGTGACTTTACTAGGTAATTTTCTAAAGTTGAGTGAGCTTTTGAGATATTAACTCCACAATAAACATGTATTTTTTGTACGGCTCCATTTATTTTTATTTGTCATATTTGAATTGAGTAAAAACTATTTATACTCTCTAATTTTATTTTTAAAATCAATTTTTTTCTTCAACTTTGAGAAATAGTCATTCTCCAACCCCCTTTCCATTTTTTTCTTAATTGACTTTTTAAATATTTAGTTTATTCTTAATTATCAACTTTTCTCTTCTTCTTTTTATTTTATTTTATATACTTCTTTAAATTTATAATATTTTTGTTATGTAATTTATATTAAAAATACTTTCTATAAAAATAATAATATATAAATAGTGAAAAATATCGATCGAGTATATGAGCTAATGTCGTTCTATAATTAAACATGTGAACAAAATAAAAAATAATTTTATTAATTTTAACGGATTTTATAATATGATATCCTTAAAAACATATTTCGATGCAGGTAATACAGAAATAATTAATTAAACTAAAGATATATTTCATAACACCTTTAATAAAGATTATCTATTTATAATATAAATAAATAAAATTTAAATTATGATTTAAAAAATATATTATTAATGACAATCAAAATTTGTCTATCTACATATATAATAGAGAACAAGAGATAGGCATAATGCATTGTCATTTACCTTAGCTTCAACTAACATATATCCCTTTAACTTTAGGTATGCACATGTAAACATTTAAATTTGTATAAAGTTGAACAAGTAGGCACACGTGTCCTACATGACAATCGTGTGAGATACACTCAAACTGATTTGTATCATATCATGTCGAATACATGTTATGTCATGCGTAGGATATGTGTGTCTGTTTATTCAATTTTATAAGTGTATACTTGTACACACCATAAATTAGAGGTTATTAATGTGAATCGATAAACTCAGCTTTTCGTAGCGGATCAATCTTTTGTTTCCCCACCCTCTTTTAGACTCTCTCTCTCTCTTTATATATATATATATATATAATTTTGGAAAGCACAAAGATCTAAGCCACTTATGTTGTGGTGAAGGTTAAACCTCATAATATCAACAAAGCTAAAATTTCATCTGTGTTAATTAAGGCCAAGTTAAAGAGAAGTTAAAGAACACATTAATATATTATACCAAAAGATAAGTGAAATTTAAATAAGCATGCACATAATATATACATCCGTACGTACTTAACTACTTATGCATGTAGTATTAAAATAACAATCATAAGAAAATGACATTCAATTTTGCAACAAACTTATAAATAAAAATGTTATTCTACTTATATTAAAACTTAAATAAAAATCTATAATATATAGGGTAAAAAATAAAATATTATATAAAATATAAAAAGATGTTACATAAATGGAGAATTAAAAATAACAATAAAAAAAAAGGCTTTGCATAAGATAAAAAGGGGAGGATGATTCATTTTCAAAGTTGAGGAGGGTGTTTGATTTTAAAACAAAGTTGGAGGTGTAAATGATTTTCATCCCATTTGAATTTGGTACGCTTATTAGAAAACAATGATTGACATGACTATTTTATCACACTACCCCTATTAATTGATAATTAGAACTTACTTTATTTCAAATTAAGTGAATTTGTGAGGCAATACACACCCATTAAAATACCATTTAAGGACATAATTTAAACCATATTTTCACTATTGCCCTTTTGTGAAAGCATAAATATAATTTTCTAAGTAGTGCAATTTATCTCCTATAAAATATAAAAAGGTTTTTCGTTGCATTCACTTACAACAAGAAATAACCACCAGTGTTTGGTTCAATTATTTTGGTGTATTTTTTTTCCATTCGTTGGTCTTTCATTCCGTCATATTCCTAATAACATATTCAATTAACCGTTAATTGCTGATCATCTGTGTACCTTAGTGGTGACTCATTGTCACAACCCGAAGTACCCCCTAGGTATGACATGGCGAATAGAATCCCGAGAGATCCTAAACGATCCACTTGACGTAAGCATGTCGTAAAATAAATACAACAAAAGAGAATATTCAATACAAGTCTCAACCATATAAGCAATCTAAAAATAAGCACTGAATGTTAAGTTGTGTCTGACATACTCTTTCTAACATCGTAAGAGTGGGTGAGACGTAACCCATACATACACTACCTACAAGTCTGAAACTAAAAAGACAACAAAAGCAATAAAGGTGTCTATGGATTTTCCCTCGAACCATGGGGACTCACCACTCTAAGTGATCAAGCTGAACAATCCTGATCTAAGCATTTCTGAGAGGAAGAGCGTTGGACCCTATATTATAAGACAATATAGGCACAAATATGCATTAGTACATTAATGTATTAAGTATGAGAAAATGTATAAAGACATAGGCATATGTATGATAGTATGAGGAACTTTAAATATAATATGCATGATCCTAGTAAAACGTAGTAAGAGCCTTAAAAAAATCATGAATCATAAGTAAGGTCAAAGCATATTTAAAATACAGGGGAAGCTTTCATAAAACCTTCAAAGAAACATAGTTCACTTGTGGGATATTTACCATTAACCAACAATAAGACCATGTGAGCTATAACAAGGAATTCAGCATGAACCTCACACCAAAAAAGGAAAATTTACTTGCCAAGATAGAATTCCGTCATATTCACTCGTAATTGCTATTGTGGATCCACTAGATAGGTCATTTAAGACAATCCTACAGGGCACGTAGTTTGGGACAAGTGAATTGCTACTAAAGACCAAACTTCTACTAGAAGTAAGGCCTCAATTCCAAAATCCTCTCGGTCCTAAGTAAATCCCAACGGAAAAGACATAATCATATTCGTATCAAAATACTTGGAAAGGCACAATTTAGACTACCAGTCCAAGCTCCTCTCAAACCATGATTTCATAAATTTTCATATTAGACGCTTACCTTTCTAAGTTTCTAAATCATGATTTCATTATGTGAGAAAACATTTCACAAATCATTGATACTTATCTCAAAAGCATCCATAGTTCATACATCATCCTTTTCATAAAACATGCATAAATCCTTAATAGAATTCATGATCATAGTTCATAATTCATAAGCATTTTTCATAATTCAAGTTCATAAAATAGGCGTATACATGAGTCGATATAAAATCAGTTGAAACCCATGTAATTGAATCAAATCATACATAATAGGATTGGACATAAGCAATTGAATCATAATAAATATGACCCATGAAGATTTGCATGAAACCTTAGTAAATTGAATTGGAGATTAAGATTCTTTTGGAACCCAATGGATGAAAGAAATTCATTGGTGATCCACATACATTGATAATCAAAGACCTAAGAAAGCTAGGAGAATGAGACCTTGACGCTTGAAACCCTAGATCTTCACCCTCGAAGCTTTTGAGAGAATTTTGGAGAAGAGGACTTGAGAGATTTAGGAGATTTTGAGTGAATGAGAGAAATTAGGCTTAGTTTGAAGGACAGAAACGATTATATGGGTAGTTATAAGGCAACCAACGTAGTTTAGAGGTTAATTGAGTAGGAAAAGACCAAAACATCCTTGATTAAAAATTGTTGGAGAGATCAACGGTTCCAACCGACGATCCGTAGAACTTTCTACGAACCGTCCTGGTCAACCATAGAGTCACTTACTGGAACCTAAAATCCTCAGTGATTTCAATGAGACCTTCCTACAGACCGTTGACCATTCTACTATTCGTAGACCCCTTTCGTAGAGTCCAAGTTTAAGTCAAAAATCTCATTAAGTCTGGATCACTTCTACGAGTTCCTTCTACGGCCCGTAGACCACTTGACGACTCCTCCTGTTAATCCATTTGTCAAACATGAGAGACTTGATATTTTTCAAAACTCAACTTAATCCTATGACTGCCTTCATACGATCGTGGGACTTCATACAATCCGAAAATGGTTTCCATATGACACTGGCTCAATGCCAAAATGCATTTTTTTCTTTTCAATTCAACTTTTCAATTTACGAGGTGTTACACTCATATATTAGCAAATTCACACATTTGAAGTCTTGTTGAGAATTTTTTTTCTGCAAGAAATTTCATTAAAGCAAAGGACAAATATGAAAAAAAAAATTAAATATTTATCTTAAAATATGAAATAGAGCAAGTATTAAATTTTGAAAAATGATTTAGGAATTAAGAACCTAATGCAACAAAGAGGGTGGTATGGGACCTAGGGCTTTGTAATGTACAGTCATATTTTTTAAAATGTATAAATTTAGCTAGTGTTTGGCCATACATCTCTAAATATTTTTGGCAAGTCATTCTTAGGTAAAGTTTTCTCATGCGTTTGATCATAAATTTTGGGAGAAATATATACTCTGTAAAGAAATACAATTTATACCCATAAATTCTAAAAATTATTTAAAATATCCATAAATTTGTATCATCGTTTTATAATGAAGATGTACCATAAGGAAAAGACAACGCAACGAACAAAACTAATACGAATCTAAAAAAAGAACGAAAATACAAATGGTTTATATAGAAAAAAACTATTACTTATTACTATTTGTAATTGGAAGTAAATTCGTAGAATAAGTTCGGATAATAACTATATACAATATGTATATAATCATATAAATTTTATACAATGAATTAGGTTTGAAGTTTAATCCAAAACTATAAATGATGAATATTTTTATAAAATATAAAAATTTGAGGTAATTTTTAGTAGATTTGAAAATTTAGATTGTTTATCAAAAATATTCGTCAAATAATAGCAAATTATATAGCCAAACAATATTTTGAAAATTTGGATTGTTTGGCAGTGGTGCTGTTTACAGGCGCTAAATTCTCAGCATTATTTTCTCCGTCTTTTGAGCAACTGATGATTTCTCAATTCAAACACATCTTTTTCACCGCCTCTCTTCGAAAATTTCCCAATTTCCCATCAGTTCTCCCTCTTCCACACCTCAAAGCTTTCTCAGCATCACACGTACTCGGAGGAAAAATGGAATTGGCGGAAGCACCTGACCGCACTCTTCTTCTACTCGCCGGAAAATCCAATGAGGAGAACGATGTGGCGAAGGTATTAAAGGATAACAATACTCTTCAACTGCGTAAAAATGGTGAAGAAGTTGAGGTTATTCTGCCTTCCGAGGTCGAAACGCCATTTGAAGATGACGCGTTTCGAATTGGAGAATACTTTAACTCCCTTTCGACTAAGCGTTTTGGGAGACTCCTCATTTATTCTCCCAAATTGTCGTCAACTCATGATGTTATTTCACAGTAATTGTCCAATCCCTATATTCAATTTTTAATTTGTATACATGTAGCAAGTTATTTACCTTAATTTAGATTAGCATGCTTAAGTATGTGTATTTACTTTTGTTGATATTGTGAAAAAAAACTTGTTCATTTTAATTACTTGAATATTGCAGAAATAACTCTGACTTACCAGTTGGGACAGTGTGTGTTGCTGATGTGCAACTGAAAGGAAGAGGTATGCAGATTTATATTTGTTTTGGATAACTGCATTGTTAACTCTTTAAAAGCCCAAGTCTTTTTAAGTTGTACACACTTCACATAATGATCTGCCCTCTTTAAACGAGGGGTCAGAAACTATTAATTTTGTTCTAGTGAACTATGCTTTACTTATGTGGTACAATTCAATTAAGTGCTTATTAGCACATGCTGATCTGCTTCAATTTGTGCAACCAATTATGCTCTCTCTTACTAATTGTAATTTGTTTTTTGTCTTTGAAATAAAGAAACAATAACTTCTGCAGCTATGTCAAGAAGATTAAATTTTATATGAAGAGTTTAGAGGTGGATTGTGACACCAAATGAGAGGTTTTGTTCCCTCCACCAACTATGAATTAGTAAAAATGTCTTTCGGACCTTTATAAAACCATAGATATGTGTTGACATTGTTTGCCTTGCACGTGACTTTTTCCATTAACAATGAAGGGAGGTTAGAGAAGGTCTCATTCTCCATCATTGCTTTAACGCTAGGGATTTATTTGTTCAATACACAAAAATAATTTTTAAAAATGCATGACTTGTAGACTAGGAATTAAAAACTGCAGTTGTTGTATTTTGTGTATTGAAGATTTTTTGGTCTTATCATATTTGCCCAAATTTATTCATATCTTACTTTGATTTGATTATATATTTATTTACCTTTGAAGGCCGTTCGAGTAATTTGTGGCAATCACCAAAGGGTTGCCTTTTGTTTTCATTTTCAATACAAATGGAGGACGGCAGAGTGGTGCCACATTTGCAGTATGTAGTCTGTCTTGCTATGACAGAGGCCATTAAGGGTATCTGTTTGGAAAAGGTAAGTACTTATATTACAAATGTGTAATGGCTGGCATCCTGAAATTGAAATTAGATTGGTAAATGTTTAATCAATGTATGGGAAAAGTAAGAAGGAGATAAATGTGACTATATGTCCACATTGCTTTAACAATGAATTAAAGTTTTCTCACTTATCTTTGTAAGTTTTATATGCTCTATCTAGATTTTTTCAATTGAAACGTTTGTTCTTACTCATGTACTTTATGGTTTTGTCATTGTGTTTGTATACTTGGAAATTGAAGCAGTTATCTGATGAATGGTCTGTGAATAATTGTATACAGTACTTGCAGACATTTATTGTTTAGTGCGTATTGGTCTGCTAAAGAGAGTGTCCTATTTCCTAAAGAATGTTTTTTGTGTTAGGAAGTATTCAGGAAAGAGATTACCGTGACAGGGAAAATTTGGATAATTAACAGTGTCCATTGAATTAGTCAGTGAACTGTAAGATGCACTTATATCAAATTTCAGGTAGATTCAGATGATACAACTGCTTATTAGATGGAGCACTCATAGATTTTTGGTTCTTCTTGAGTTACAAGATTCTCTGTCAATCTTTTCTATTGATTACTTTGTTTTCGTTTAGATTTGCCTAAATAATTAAGAATTTGTATCTTCATTGTTGGTGGTGTATCGATGAACATATAGTATTTCCTAAACCTTATCGCTATTTGGCAAAATAATACTCCTAATTGCTTTGATTATGCCATAATACTGTAGGTAGTATGTATTTGAACAATTTCAAATGCTATCTGGATAGATATGGAAGAAAGAGGAGTGATAGGACAGGATTTGTTGAAACTAGATGTGTGCTGCATAGAAGCTTTGTGTAACATGTAGATCATATACTTTATTTAGAATAACTGTTGGTATGTTAAACTTTTTTTTCCTTCTTGTTCTTGGCTGCGTTATGTGTTACAGGGCACGCCACATCTTGATGTTCGAATAAAGTGGCCAAATGATCTATATTTAGGTGGCCTTAAAGTGGGAGGCATCCTAAGCACATCGGTATATAGGTCAAAGAAGTTCTATGTTAGTGCTGGTAAACTGTCTCACTCATTAACTTGCAAAAAGGAAATACTGTCACTGATGTTCATTATATTTTCTCTTCCTGTTTGAAATAAAGAACAGACTTTTTCCTTCAATTTATAGAACTTTGCATGCTATTACCAGTTTGACGGGGTTTCACATGTTGCAAACTTAATGAATTTAGTTACTCAACAAATTCTCTTACTCTTGCAGTCTTGATTAACATAGCTAACTTTAATGCACCCTCTTCAAATCATTCTAAATCGACTGATGAACATCTGTATTTGTTTCTTTCTCCTCTCATTCTATATCGATTTGGAGAAATTACATTGGAGTGCTTTGATAAAAAATACTTCGCAGGAGTTGGATTGAATGTGGGGAACGAGAAGCCTACTACATGCTTGAATGCTGCTTTGAAGAGAGTGAATCCTCTCTCACGTGAATTGAAAAGAGAAGATATCATTGCAGCTTTTTTCAATAAATTTGAGAACCTTTATGATGTTTTCTTAAAACAAGGTAAGTTGCCTTTTAACTACTCAGCCATCATGGATATACTGGCCGACTTCCAATTGTTGAAATACAAACTCCACGGACTAGTCAATAATATGGATTTTCTGGAATGCTCAGCATGCTAGTTCAAGTGGATCAATATGGTTATTCATAGATCAAAAGAACAACCATTCATTTTCTATCTGTTTCCTGGTTTTGTAGTTTACTTGATAGCCTTTACTCTTGTTTTTAACTCATCAACATGGGAGAAACATAAAATATTGAAGCCTTGTGTAAGTTCAAAGTACTTCCAATTTAGCTTCATATTTTTGTGTTACTTCATCGTTGGTTTGGGTTTTAGATCTTACCTACTTTAATTCTGCCTTTGTTGAGCCTAAGCTAGAGCTACGTTTGTCTAGGTGATCCTGAGTTTCTACATACCAAAACATGATGTTGCATGTGGTCAGCTTTTCAGAAATGAAGATAGTATTAAAATAATTTTAGCTCCTGGATAAATCAGTACAACAAGTAATGACCACCAATGATAAACAGAAACGAAGGATGAGAGAGAGAGAAAAGAATCAGTGGGTTAGATTTCCCAGCCAAAGTCTTGGGGCATGACAAAAATAAAGAGAACTTTCGATGCTGCTAAATAGCTACTCAACTTCTTAAACCCGAAAAGAGAGCCATGTTAAACATTGGAAAATTTTCAATATCTGTGAAATCCTTAACCCAATGTTAAAAAAACTCCAACTAGTAGGTCTTTAACTTGTCAGCTAACTCTTTTTTATCAATTCATTTTGAGATTTTAATCATATAATTTAGCAATGGAATTGAGTAATCTTAAAAATATATGAGCAGGGTTAAAGTGACAGAGAGCTATTAATACGGAAGCTAACTGTGTCGCAAAACCTGTTCATATGAGCAAGGTTACAATATCAGAGATTTTAATCATTTTTTTTGCTTTAGGTTTTGCTGGTGTTCTTTAATGTCATTTTTCTATAAGATGTTGTTGTCTGCCCCACTACTGACATGAAACTTAGCATTTAACTGGGAGCAAGGTAGAAGGGTAGGTCTATATTTTGAGTATCAAACCTATGGGCCAACTGGTGTTAGCTTGCTAACTCATAGGGAATTTTTCAGTTATAAAATAAATAAAAAATAAAGCAAATATCATATTGTTGTTTGCATACCATGTAATTTGAGTGGTATCCAGTAATTGTTTCTAGAAAGATAATGTTTTCTCCTCCCCTCCCCTTACTTTTCTTCTTGGTGGATGATGTTAAAAAAATGAAATGAAGTTCACAAACTTCCAATATGAATGTGAGGTGTCCTTGTATAAACTGTTTATATATATTTAGTGGAAAAACTAAGTTGGTTCTTGGTGGAAGATTCAGTAATTTTAAGCATAGTTTTTGGTTGATGGTGATGAGATTGTAATTTACCAGTTGTATGTAAAACGTGTCCAAAAAATGGTTTATCAAATAATACCAACCTTTCTTCCCATTGATAGTTCAATGCTAATATCAAAATTTATCATTTTGTTACCTCTCTCAAAAAAAGAGTATCAGAAAGTATCATATGCTGGACTCTATTTCCACTTGCCTGTGCCTTTTCCTAAGCTGGCCTGTTTCGGTGTCTTAGTTTTCCATTGAGATGATATTTCAGTGTCAACAAATGAATTGGAGGTTCAGTAATGAGAATAATGATATTTTTGATAAGGAGAATAATGATATTTCAGTGTCAGCAAATGAGTTGGAGGTTCAGTAATGAGAATAGTCTTTTTATATTTTGCATTGGGTTGGTTAATGTTGAGCTTGTCATCTAGGGTATTAGGTGCTTATGCAGCTTAGAGATCCATAGAAATTTTGTAGTGTTGGTGGTATTCTGGGACATTGTGTATTAGATTCTCGTGCAATGTTCGAATTCATTAAGTTCAGTTTATAGTTTATTATCAACTTCATTTTGCTGTTTGTGATTATCTTAGAACCGTTCTACGTGGAAATCATGGAGTGATTTCTTGGTGAAGAGCTTCTGCATATCGTGGTATGGTAATGAAAAGAGTGATACATTTTGCTGTGTGCATGCAGGATTTCAAGCTCTTGAAGAGTTGTACTATCAGACTTGGTTACACAGGTAGAAACTGTTATATGTTACTGTAGATTCCAATATCTGTTATTTGCTACTCTTCCACTTTGAAGCTTTTTACCAAGCAGAGAACTTTATGCTATAGAAATCCTGTAAAGTTGATCCTTTATTCACTTCTAATCACATGTGTGCTTCTTTTTATGCTTGAATGTGCTTTTGATGGGAGAAAGTAGGTAAAACTCAAATTCTTTTACCATGTCATAGGGTAGGACAAGACTGCTCCTAGATGAGTAAAGGAAAGCTTTGTGTGATATAACACTTGTGGATCGCTGGATTGTGTCATTCTCCTGAGTCCTGACTACAAAAGGGACTTTTAAACAACATTAAAATGGACCTAGGCCTTGGTAGTTCACTTGTATCATTCAAACACAGTAATGATGCACAAAGATTTCAATGTACTTGTACTGGAACTGATGCCGAGCCTAGGTATCATGGTTCTTTGGTGGCTGGAAGGTTGTATAGTAGATTTACGTCTGATGGATAGCCATGACAAAGCTGAAGATGCATGGGACTACTTGGTTCAAGAAATGCCACCTTCCTTGTCCATCAGATGACAGAAAATTAGCACAGCTTCATCCTGCGTAAAATGGACAAAAGCTTGTGGACTGTGTGGTGAATGGTAGTGCAAATCTCCCTCCAAAAACTGTGACGTGAAGAGAAAAAAATGTTCTGTAGACTTCTGTGGAGCTAAAGTTGTAGCCTCAGCAAAAGGAGAAGGTAGATCCTCGTATTGTAAGAGTGAATTAACATGAAATTGAGCAGAAGGACGGAGGACAATACTCGGGGACCCTCCAGATGGTTTTTTTTTATTTACAAATTCCCAGAAATGGTCATATGTTATTTTTTTGCCTCCTCAACTGGCCTTCGGCTCTCTTCTTTTTCTCTCATTTCTCTCTTCTGGACTTCTGGTGAAAATGTTATCCTTCTTTTTATATTAAAACAAGTTCACATATCTAAAGAAAAAGGTAAAGAGGAAGTTGGATGGAGCTCGAATCCTTTACTGTATACTAACGCATACCCAGAAATTAAGAAGATGCAAAGCTAACCTCTGAGCAAGCCCAAATGTATTTGGAGGGAGTTGATTAGCGCTACACTTGACATCACATAATCAATGTATGGTCCATGTCGTTTATTCCCTATTTTTTAATTTTGCTAACCGTAGAGGACTAGAGTCCGGGTCAGCTTGTGTGCACCTCGACTAATTCCATGGGTACCTGCTACCTTTCACCAGTATAGGTATCATATAACTATGTGTCTCTATCCACCAAGGCTTGGATAGATGGGAAGAAATTACCTACTCTTTTTGCCTTCGCTGAGATTTGAGTCTGAGATGTCGTGGTTGTCCATGATGTTTATTCCTTATTCAGATGTAGAAATATTTTACATGTGTTATCATGAAACCAACTAATGGACAGAACATGTAAACTCTTCTGGTTGTCACATCGTTCATTTTAATTATTTACCTTTTTGTTCTTCCTTTTGACTGCTTACCTATTGTTAAATCTGGTCAACCATTATACAGGTTAAGTCGGTGTGAAGTCCACTTCATTTTCTTATTGAGTGCTGAATTCAAGTCTAACAAGATGTTTTCTCTTCAGTTAGTAACTGTGATTCTTCTGCCCTCTCATGTAAATGCAGTGGACAGAGGGTTATTGTGCAGGATAGAAGCAATGATCAGGACCAATTCGTTGAAAATGTAGTCACCATTCAGGTTGGTTTGAGTGGACTATCTCGGTTACTAGTCCTGAGAAATAAAGTATTATTCTTATTCAATTTTCAGTATTACACCTTGTCACTCTTTATTTTTGGTTATAATATGATTTCTTTTTGAACTCCGAGATCTATTTCTAGTATGGCTGCTTCTTGACAGTGATGTGTTATTTAAACTCCAACAGGTATATCTTATAATATACAATGCAGGATAACATGTTAAGATGCACGGAAAGAGGAGTGCACCAGATTAGTACTGTGAAGTCATCAATTTGGAATAGTGTTGCAGAAAGATAAGATGGTGGTTTTGGCGGTGCTTTTGGATGTTTTTGAGCTTAGTACTTAAGTCGATGGGTTCCATTCAATCTTTCTCTTGGGATTATCTGAATAGGAGCTGAATGCCTTAATGGCCACTTAAGCACTTGAAACTGTTAAAGGATTTATAACAACCATTCACACTATGAGTTCCTTAAAATTGTTCCAAAGACTTGAATTATAAATGAATAAACACATCAATTTTCTTCCATTACGAGCCATGCAAATCAGGTGAAAAAATAGAGTACAATGGAAGAGAAAGATGATATAGCTGATATCAGTTAGTTGGGCTTTGGGAAAGGATTGATTCAGCCTCTGATAAAAAAGATATGCCTTGGTTATATTTCACTTCTTCAACAAGTTTAGTAATGAGCATAACGGCCCTATTGTTCCGATGGAGAGAAAAATCAATACATTTACTTTAGGTTGTGCGTCTTCTAGGAGCTTCTTAGTCTTGTCATATATTTTTCTCCCAATAGAAAATAGAGAACTTTTAGTCTTTTTTATTTCTATTTAATTGTTTATGTTGCGCAAGCCGCAATGCTTGTCTGAGACAAGTTTCACATGGAACGACATGGTCAATGAGGATTCATAGCCAATCCCGACTTGCTTTCTATAGAGGCCTAGTTGTTGTTAGGGGTGACTTTTCTCCTAATACACATTAGGGAATAGTGTGCTCTTAAGAAAATATGGAGTTATAGTGCGATGTACCAGTTACCAAATATCTTTTTTTTTCCCCTTTAACCTCTCAATTTGATTTTGTTAATATGCTATCCATGAGTTAACTGGGTTCAATGTCTTGAGTTAGAGTGAAGTATAGGAAACTGAAGTGATATCTAGGATGAGTTTAATGAAGGATCTCTGAACAGATAAAAGAGAGGCCATGAATATCTACCACTTCATTCTTGTGAAGAGGGTAAGGAACCTGTAGAAGATCTATGTTACTACTGAATCCTTGATTGTTGATTCTTCCCTTCCATGATGTGACATGTGCCACCCTTTAGTTTATGCTTGTGATATTTGTTGATTGTTTTCCTTTTTATAATCACTCAGCTTAAGCTGGCACCCCTCATCAATCCCCATGAAGTGAACACGTTCTGAAGTTTATTTAAATTCCTGTTTTGATTAGTACCATATAATTTTCATACTTGTCTTAGTTGTCCTTGCTCTAGTAAACTGTTTTATCCCTGTAATTAGCTACATAAACAAATGATTGTACTTTCAGGGTTTGACATCCTCAGGGTATTTATTAGGAATCACAGATGATGGTCAAATGTGTGAGTTACACCCAGATGGCAACAGGTTTGTCTTACGATTATCAACTGTCAACAGATTTAAATCTGATGTAAATTTGTTATTTTAATTTCTTATGTAATCGGGTCCACTTCAGTTTTCAGAAGTTCAAAATTTTCAAAATAAAAAGTTAATTCTCTACTTTTGGACTCATTTCTATCCGGATATTATAAGTTTTAGCTCACATTATCACCCATGCCAAAATCAAGGTAAGATCTTTAAGTTGGGATGGGGATAGTTTTACGAGGTATAAATGAAGAAAAGTGGACCCTTTTATTGAAACCAAAATCAATGAAGTCTTAGAAATTAGAGTTTACAGTAGTATCCCGGAGAAATCAAATGAAAATTACTTACATTTTTTTCATTTTTCTCCACTCAGTAACTATAATGTTTGATTGGATGTGAGACGATCCTTACAATGATACAGTTCACATATTTGCCTTAAAGTTCTGTGTTTAACACTAGTGCTTTTTAGTTATAAATACATGAGGTGAATACCTAATTACTTATTCATATCATCTACCTGTTAGCTATAGAGTCGCTAAAGAGGCCTAAGGCTGGTCTGTTTCCTCTCATACCATGCCTGTTGAAAGTTCCTTGCCTTTTCCCTGGAATTGGGTATGATTCATTTACCTCGACTAGGATCAACACCTTCTATACCCCAAGAAAAAGCTAAAAGTACAGAAGTCATCATGGCAGAGCTAGTTCCACAACTGCGATTCACACCCACAGGTCAAAGAACTGTAATAGTTGCTGATATATTAATTAGGTTGAGAATCAAGGCCTTCCCCTTGTCTTTGTCGATAAGGGTAAAAAATTGGAGTTGCAAAAAGGATTTCCTATTTCTCTATCCCACTTGCCATAGAGAAAAAAAAGTATAGAAGGCAAAAAGACAGATGACCAATGAACTATCTAGTCAATGTTTTGCTACTTAACGAAAGATGAATGCGTATACATTTCAAAAAATTGCTATTTTCCTTGTGTGCTTTATTTTAGGAAATTTACGTAAAGGAAAACAAACAAAGATGAGCTGTTCTTTCGTTACTTACTGGGGGCTCATTTTTTCTGATAAGAATAACTACCATCATTGGGGTGCTGTTTTTGGTTCTATCCTATTGTCTGGGTTATTTTTGGCAGTAATGAGCTGTTAGTTTTTTTAATTATTAATTTAAGCATGTTTGCTTGGATCATTAGTAGTTTAACAATTTGTTTTTATTCCATGGATGCAGTTTTGACTTCTTCAAAGGGCTTATCAAAAGAAAAATGAGCTGAAGGAGACTCATGTTGGTGTGCCTTCTAGCAAAATAGTTTATCCTCTTTTCTGTTTACTTTTAGTTCACGTATTCTATTTTTATTTGCTTATTTATTAGCTGATTCTGTTGCACATAAAGTCATTTCTCAAAATTGTATTGGTTCTTTATTTTATTTTATTTTATTTTATTTTTAATAGGAACCAAGATTGCAGTATCTTGAATTTCTTTATAAAAAAGCAGATCATTTATGCCCAGTTGTAGAGAAGATTTCCTTCAAGGCACTGTTTTTCAACCAAACTTTAAGAAATAAAAGGTTTACAGTTTCTGTTTTCACTTTTTGCAAAAATTGCAACTCTTCAAAGTCTTAGGGGTCATATTATCTGGTGTATTTGTGGCAATAATTTTCTCAATTCTTGCTATTCGCCTGATTTGTATAAATTCAAAATTTGTATAATTTGGTTCCTGATTGTATAAATTCAGAATTTTGTATATTTGTGTACGATTTATGAAAAAATAATAATAAATTACTTTGTTTGTATATTGACAAGCGAAATATATAAATGGATTTCTGAAAAAATTCTAAATGTATATATACAGATCTTGTAGATACTTATCTTATTTGTATATTCGCAAGCGAAATATTCAAACGGACAGAAATATACAAACCGCTGCCTCCATAGCAAATGAAATTATGGTTATGGAGTGCAATTATCAAAACTATAGCTATGGAGTCTTATTATGTCTATTATATTTGCTATTTTTAAAATTTTCTCAAAAAAACATTGATTAGGAAGGAGGTTTTGACTATTTTTTCATTATTTGAACTTCTAATGTGGCAAATAATTCGGTATAGAATAGTCTATAGTTTTATTTTTTAGTATCTAAGACCATCTCAACTCACTTCTATTTTACTCTTCATTCGCTATATTTGGAAAGTAAAATAGATAGGAAAAATTACTAAAATACACATTTTATGTTTCCCTTATTTCCAATATCCTCTTCTATTTCTAAAAACCTCTAAAATCCTTTATTTCTTTAATGCATCCGAGCTACATATTAATGTATCTGAGCCACTATTTAATGTATCTGAGCTACATATTATGTATCCGATTTATTTTATAATGTATCCGAGCTAGTTTTTAATGTATCTGAGCTACATATTATGTATCCGATTTGTGTTACTTTTTAAGGGATTAATGTAATTACAAACTAAAGAGGGATAGATTGTAATTTCATATTAAAACTATGTGATTCCTAAAATTTACCTAAATAGATAATGGGCTCTCCAACTATTCTCTAAATGACTCTCTGTTCTCCATTTATAGACAGGTGAATAGTAGTTCTCCAAATTTGAAGAACTACTATTCACCTCTCTATTTCACTTTTTCATTATTTTATTATTATTTCTATTCTTTTGTAATTAACATATTAGTTTTCATAGAATACAACGAATTGTATCTCTAATATTAGCAATTCATTTTAAATGTAATATAACATTATTAAAAAATATATTATTTAATATATACTACTTTCATCCGGAATTAATAATGTTTCATTTTTTTTAATTTTCGTCACTTTAATATAGTTTGATATCATTATTAATTTTCACTATGAAGAATGCACAAAATTAAAATGATAAGATGAAAATTATAATTTTAAAATACAATACATAACACAATAATTTAAATACAAGATAACAATACATAACATGATAATTTTATCACAATAATAATTTAGTAATCCGGTAGGTCATTTTCAGATTTAACAATATTCGAAAAAATTAGTGTATGATCAACATAATTAGTGTAGTTGTGATTGCGGTTGTGCTTGTTGATTTCTTTTTTCAATTATTCGTAGTTGTTCTTGTTGCACGAAAATCTCCGATTTGCACAATCTTTAGCTAGACATAAAATAATTAAGGATAAAAATGTTCATTTTGAACTCCATAATGCATTAATAGAGAATTTATGGGAGCATTGTAATAATCTTGAAAGTAGAGTTTGTATGTAATTACATTTCATTAATAATTTCACTTTTATTTGAAATGTCCATTAATTTGTATATTATATAATATTAACTTGCAATTTTATGTTATTTAGAAATTTAGGGGAAAAAATAACTTTTATAATAAGTAAAGAATTTGAAAAAATAAATTTTTTATATTACATGAAAATTATATAAAGTTATTATTTTAAAAAATAAAAATAATAAAGGATGTATATTATGAAATAAGAAAATAAGAATGAAATAGAAATAATAATATCATATTGATGAGAGAGAAAAATATTCTTTTTTAGAGAGTAAAATAGAGAATTGAGTTGGAGTTGGTTTGTCTGAAATAATAAAGAACTCTATATTTGGATAGTAAAATAGAGATTAGGATTGGAGATGCCAATAGCTCAAATACATCTCCCTCCACCCTTTTAAATGTATTTGGGATTGTATCACCAAATATTGAGATTCTTTATGTTATTGTTACAAGTAAAAAAATCTATACATGATTTTTTATTAGCTTGTATTAAAGTCAAAAAATATATGATAAGAAAAAAAAATATTTTAAACAAGATGAATCACAAAAGATTTTGGAAAATCATGTTAGGAAAAATAGAAATCTTGCCAGTGTAACGTGGACTAAAATTTGGCATAAAAAGCTCACATTTTATTTTTTGGTATATAATAACTCAAATAATTATTTTTAGGAATTTTATGATGGTTGGACTAAAATTTAGAATAAAATAGCCTATATTTCATTTTTTGATATCTAATAGCTCAAATAATTTGTTCTTTCTAAATATTTGGCATTGTATTGCTAAATACTTAGATTCTTTATATTATTGTTACTAGTAAAGAAATCATTTGTGACCTAATAATTTTTATTAGTGTATTTTAATAGTCTTAGTAATCAATAATAACTTTGAAGTCATATTTCATGATTTATCTCACCGGTTAGTAATCATTTATGTACGTATACTAAACTAGCTATTAAATTTATCTTAATATTTGAAACTTTGAAATTAATTAAAGTGATAACTATTAGTAAATTTTATTTATTTATAATAGGTAAGAACTCCTAATTTAGTACTTAAAAAAGACAAAAAATAAAGTGCAAGTTTTAGTAATGCTTGCATTAATTATACATATATTTTTTGTGCATTGTTTGGTTTGAAGCGTTAAAAATAACATGCTAAAAAAAATTATTTATAAAGATACCCTCTGCAATTATGGTGGGAAAGATTAAAAAGATTTTGAGGGGCAATTGAGTCTTTAACCATTTTAATACATGCATTAAAATCATTGCATTACTAATACCTATGTCACGCCCCGAGCCTACACTCCGGACGTGGCTGACACTCGAGAACCATTGCTGGCCCCAAGCGAACCCTTGGCCTGACTTACTTACTCAGCGGAAGACTTAAACACAAGAAGTATAACTCATGCAATAACTTAAAAAATAATACCTTAGCCAAAACGGCAACTCAAGTCTTAAAATGTATACATATGAAATGAATAAGACTAGAGAACTAATATTATCTGTCTATGAAGCCTCTAAAACAAAAAGGGATGTCGGGACAAGACTTCTGATCATCCTAACAATGAAATATTGAAAGCAAAGTAAAAGAAGTCCTCCGAAATTTAAGGAGGCTCACCAACTTACTCTGAGTGCTCAACTGGATCAACGAGGCGCTGGGTGATAATCCTGGTTACCTAAATCTGCATCATAATAAGATGCAGGCCAACTGGCATCAGTACATTGAATGTACGAGTATGAGAGTTGGAATGCTAAACACAACATAGGCTTGAAAAGAGTCTGAAAGGAACACTTACTCCTGAAAAACTTAACTAAATATAAAGCAATGAAACATATGCAATATATAGAAAGCTTGTAAAACAGTGGAAAACATCTTAGTTCGTTAAAGAAAATGCAATAACAAACTCAGTTTTACTCATACAATAAAGTAATATAGTTTATGTGGGAGATTCTCTAACCGACAACCACCACTATGAGCCTAAGTGGTGATACAGCGTCTTGCCCACACTGCCAGAACTGTCCTATACTTTGTCGTCATATAGAACGCCTTAACTAAGTGGATCCACTAGTCTATGCTAAAAAGGAACTTAAGGAGTCATCTAAAAAGTATGATCATTTACTACCCATGATGGCTACATGGTTTATGGAGACTTGAGTTAATATGAACTCGCATCCCCATATCAGTGCTCAATACTACTCCTAAAATATACTTAGCTCATATGTTTTTAAAACAAACTTCTTTCTTTGGTTTGAGATAATTACTCAAAACTTAGCTTAAAAGCTCTCTTGAAATCGATGTTCCCTTTCTTGTTCAAATGTGAAAACATTTTAAACTCTTGGGAATACTTAGTTCCCTTATAGCTTTTTAAGAAATGAACTCAACTCTTTACTCTTTGCTTAACTCAAAACTTAAGTCTTAAAACAAAGTTAAAACGTTTGTGAAAGACTTTTGAAAACTTTTATAAACTTCTCTTGACTTGCTTCTTAACTTCTAGACTTGACTCTTAACTTTCCTTGAATTGAATTATGGATTCAAGGTTCATGATCTCATGTTTATGGATGATTTCATGATGTTTAGATGTACCTAAGAGTGTTGGAATCAACTAAGAAACATAGGTACATTGCTAAGGAACAAGTACGAAAAGATGGGGAACAAATGGGGAGAACTGGCGTCTCTGGTGCTCTGAGAGGCGCGGGGGGCCTGCCTTCAACATTCAAGGACTGGTCTGGGGCGCACTAGCTGGCGCGACGCCCCAAGGATGAAGATTCAAAGACCCTTTTGGGAGGTGCTGTCTGGCGCGACGCCCCAAAAGTGAAGATTCAGAGACCCTTTTGGGGGGCGCTGGCTGGCGCGATACCCCACCCTTATCCCCAGGTGTTTGACGATTTTTCTTCTCCGTTTTTCATCTCTAAACCCTCTAAACTCAATTGGTTCTTTCCCCAAACACTTAGAATCATTTATACCCTCAATATACATCAAATTCTACTCGAAAACACCACTAAAAACATGAATCAATCTCAAGCAAACTCCAACAACACAAATTCAAACGAACTTCATCAAGAATTCAAGGGATTTACTTTCGAATCTAATAAACTTTATTGAATTGAATCATGATTGGCGCGTGGGTGAACTAACCCATCACTATGTGATCTCACATGCTTCATAGGGATCACCACTTGACGAAATCCACTAGCTAAACTCGAACGTTCTTGACGATTCTTGATTTCTCTTCTCCTTTCTTCTCTTTTCTCTTTTCTCCAAGCCCTAGCGTGACCTTCAATTTTTCTAAACTGACTAAAATCTGACTTTTCCCCAATTAAACTCCTAAAAACGAATTAAAAGAATTGGTAAGGAAAAGACTAAAATACCCTTCCAAAAATCCGGATTAGACTTTCCTAATTCAAACAACCCAACTTTCAAAGGGCATATCTCACTCACGAACTCGGAATCGCGCAAACTCGGCGGAGTTGGAAAGATTATTCCAAGAGATTTCCTACTATATCTGGAAGTACACATAACTCATCCTGAGCTAGGAGTTATGGCTGTTTGAAGTTGAACAAAACTCAACTTATTCTAACTTAACAAAATTTCCAGATTTTCATTCTTTCCAAAAACGACTATTTCCAATTATTAACTCCTTCCTAGTTTTTCAATTTGTGAGATGTTACAACCTAGAAACTCATGGTATTAGTAATACGCACTTTGATACACAATAGAGTAACTAATGTTGAAAATAAATACCAACGAAGGTACTAGTAATACACAAGGTAATGCATGCATTTTTTTCAATAATGGATAATTTCAAAGACATCCCTTCGATTCCGCTATATAACAGTCACCTCCTCGTGATTTAAAATGTTACGCATACCACTCTTATTTTAATTTTTTGATAACCATTATGATTTAACAAATTTATCGTCTTTATATTAATTTTGTGAGGATTGATTGAAATTTATTTATGGATTTTGAGACTATTGATTACTTTCATTATCAAGAAGATATTGATGACGAAATGAAGAAGAAACGACAAAGATTTTAAGAAAAAAAATTAAAAAGTTTTTTCTTTTAATTTGTTGGGTTCAATTATTATTTAGCCTTAATAGACGACACTTTATAGGTTTTTAAAGCCCCACATACCTATTATTGAAGACATTTCAAATATTTGACTAACTTAAAAACGTGTTTTAAATATATAACATATAATAATTTAGATACGTAGTAGGAATATTGAATAATTGAGGTATAAAACTCGGAAAAAAAAATATTCTATTATTATTTTAATTTATGGATATATTTTTTTGTTCGGTTCTAAAACACATGTCACCTTTTTGTAATTAAAAATAATTTAAATTAACTTTTTTACTTTAAAGAAACAATTTATACTCACACAGATGATTAAATAATAATTTAAATCATAAATTTTAAAAAATCATCTCTCTTTTTAAAAAAATATATTAGATAAAACATTACCACATGAATTAAAATAACAAAATAATAATTTAAGCATGATGTAACCTATTGAGTCTTTTCCAAAAAAGGAGGTCGAAATAGGCAAACCTAAAGTAGCAAATTCGTTACGTATCTTATATTTATAAAATAATAATAACAAAGAAATTAATGGTGATCTACGCGGAATAAATATTCTTGAAATCAAATCGAAGTCGATAATATGAATCAAAAAAATTATTGATTTCTAGGTAATAAGTTATTAGTTTAATGATTTTTTTTTTTAATTATTGGGTTATCAGTTTTTGATTGTTTGAGTTTTTTTTAAATGGATTAATCGAAATCTGATGATAAATTAATAAATTATATTTATGTCATAGGGTATATAAAATCCTCGACTTAGGATTTAGTTTCATATTTTTATTTCTGGCAATTTCAATTTTTTTGTTATTCTATAATGTGTTAGTGTTGCTTTTGAGCAAAGACAGTCTATCAATTCGTGTGCATGATTTATTTGGTTTGTCACCATATTTCAAATTGATTTATACTTATTTATTCTTTGAATCAATAACGGATAACTAATAAGTCAATATTTTAATAGCTCTTAGTAAATCTACGAATTGATAACCAATAAGTCAAATCGATAAATTAGGCAGATAAGCCATTTCCCATTAGCCACGTGTCATGTTCTTGCATCACCCACCTTCCACTCAACCGCGGGCATGATTTACAACTCACACTTGCCTTCAAATTCCACATCCCCCTTAATTTCCACGAAAAAAAAGAGAAGAAAACATCCCATGTCTATTTCAATTTATATGGCTAATTTAGTAAAAATGAAATAAAATTAAAACCACTCCTTAAGTCAAATTAATTATATAAATTGAAATAGAAAATATTCGTAAGAAAAATATAATTATTAAAATAATAATTGATTTTAAAATAAATTATATATCTATATATACTTCATATAATAGTTTTTATAGAAAAGTTTCAAATAAAATTATTAACTAATTTTAAATTATTGTATATTAGAAACTTTTTATGTATGACAAATAAATAAAAATTTAATAGTTATTCTTTTGATTAATTTTAAATATTAAAATAAGAATTACTTAAAGAAAATAACAAATAAAATTCTCTCTATTTCAAAATAAGTGAATTATTTGGTATTTCTTTCCATTTTTCATTTTAAATTATTTGAAATTATTCTTCATAACAACTAAACATTAATCATCATAATTGTTCTCAATATTAACTAAGAAATTAAAGTTTCTTTAACTGGTCATATAAAAAATCCAAATAAAAGATAAAAATGAAAAAAAAAATCTAAAATCATATTTTTAAAATGAACAATTTAATTAATTTAAACTATAAAAAATATGTCAACAATTCAGACTAATATTACAGTAAAATTTCATTAAATTAATATAGTTAGGATCGTAAAATATTATTATTTTGTAGAGATACTATATAATCGATAAATTAATAAAATTAACTTATAGAGTATTTTGAGACTCAACCTTATGATGCTCGGATATTAAAAGCTTTCAAGATGTATTATCGGAACATGTTATATCGTAGGATATTAGAAGGCTATGAAGTGGGACATGGAACCGATCCAAGGAAAAATATGTTTTGGATGCTATGAATTTAGCAATCCCGGCTTGGACGACAAATTTTCAGCAAAAGACAATAAGAAATTATTTTCGACACTACAAAATATATTTGGAGGATGAAATCTTAGAGAATTTGAATGAACCTACCCACTTGTGAAAATGTTATTTATGAACTTGAGGTCATGATTAATGATTTCGATTAACACAATAAAAGGGACGTCAATAACCTATTAAATTATCCAAGTGAAAATGATACATATTCAGTTGTCCATGGCTTAGAAGAAATTGTGGATACCATAAAAAACAATGTTGACGATGAAATTGTAGATGATACAGTTCCTATAGAACCAATTATGCGTAAGGAAACACTTATCGTATCTAGAACTTTTCACAATATTATGGTGTAGTTCGAAAAGACAACACCAAAAATTTTGAAAGCAATAATAAAAGTTAAAGACTAACTTCAACTACATTTAAAGTTTAACAAAAAGACAAATCGAAATAGTTGTACTTTTAAAGAATTATTAATTTATAATATTAATGGGACCATATATTTAAATAGGGCTTTTCTTAAAATATATTATATTATTATCTTACCGAAATAAGTAATTTTTTTCATTGACCCAAATCGAAATCAGAAAAAAATATCTTAGAGAGATTATTAATTTACCAAGTATTAATTTAATGAGGTTTTACTAGGGTAATAAGATTTTGTTGTTTTTGTTTCATAAAGATTATATATATAAAGAGATAAAAACAATAAGGAAGAAGAAGAAGTTGTATATCATAAAAAGTAATTTTCAAATACTAGTATGATATGCTATGCATCCATTTTGCTGTGTTCCAACAATTAACAACAATTGCCAATCCTCACCGTTACCGATGGCTCCGCCGCCGGCGCCGGAATTTACTAGATCCGCTGACTCACTCAACCGGTCTGCTAGCGGTAGTTACAATCATAATTGGAGTGTAAGTAACTCCAATCATCATCGTCATCGCAGTTTGACCGAGTCCTCCTCGTCAACGCCGGGGATTTTCACTTCTTTATCACGGCCACCTTCCATGAGGGAGGTGATTCAGTTGACGTGTGCCGCATCCGCTGGTGATCAAGTCAAGATCAACGACATCGTTGGGAATGGTATATCCGGAATTCTACACAAGTGGGTTAACTATGGAAAGGGATGGAGACCTAGGTGGTTCGTCTTGCAGGATGGAGTTTTATCCTATTATAAGATCCATGGACCGGATAGGATTGTTGTCAATTCGGAGACTGAGAAAGGATCTAAAGTTATTGGTGAAGTGTCACTTAGGAGAATCTCGAGGAACAAGACGAATGCAACTTCTCAAGCTCGCCGCAAGCCAGTTGGTGAAGTTCATCTCAAGGTTATTCTTCTCTACTTATGTATTTACTGTTGACGTGTTGAATTCATCATTTGTTGAATTGAATTTGCAAGTGCTTACTAGATTTGAAGTTAGGTAGTTACTAGAAAAATCTATGTTTTTTGTTGGAAGCTATACTTGCTCGATCAATTGCAAAAGCAGGGATGATATTGGATTTTGGAGTTACAAGGTTATTTTCTCCTCATATGTTTTAGTTTAAGAAATAAGAGCTTCAGTAGTCCTACTTATATTAGATATGGACTCCAAATTTGCTCGGAGGGGAGGAGTAGGCAAGAATACTTGAAGGGTAAAAATCTAGATTGTCAAAAGTAACATTGCTTATTAAAAACAAAACAGAGAGGAAAAAAAACTCTTCCCTAAGTCTGCCCCTTATACCTCCTGTATGTGCTGTTCATTTTTCTTAGTCTTGTGG